CATACATATATATATATATATTTATATATAGACATAATACGCATATTCACTATCTTCGCAGTCATCTATTAACATTGCAGGTGTCGTGACCGCTTATATTAATACCCGTGTACACATATTCTGTATCTTATTGTCGTTACCACAGTATAGTGCTCATGTCTGCCCTTGCACGTACCCTCTCAGGCCTTTGACGGAGTTGACATTTGATATGGCCATTCTGGAGCACATACGCTACGAACACGACGACAGAGGCACCGGACCAGAGGAGAGGTACATGACTACATATAGAAATAGAAGTGCGTGTATGTGTACGTAATATATAATGTATGTGACAGTGGTACATGACTGTATATAGAATTATAAGTGCGTGTATGTGTGAGAGGTACATGACTGTATATAGAAATAGAAGTGCGTGTATGTGTACGTTTTATATAATGTATGTAACAGTGGTATGTGGCAAGTGGCTATAATTAGAACTGCGTGTATGTGTATGTAATAGATAATGTATGTAACAGTGGTATGTGGCAAGTGGCTATAGATAGAAGTGCGTGTGTGTGTACTGATATATAATGTATGTAATTGAGGTATATGGCAAAAGTACGTATATATGTACTCAATATATAAAGTATGTATTATATGGCAAGTGACTTTAAATATAGGTACGTGTATATGTACGGGTGGTGTTATGTATGTAACAGTGGTATATGGCAAGTGGCTATAAATAGGCGTATGTGTTCTATTTATGCTGATGACGTCAACGGTTTTTATCGATAAATATTGTTCTGAATTTTGGTATGTAATTTATTACCATATATATTACAACATGAGGGTAGTGTACGGTGATGTATGTAATTTAATAGCATATATAGCACAACATGAGGGTAGTGTAGGGGTTGTGTAGTTTATTACCATATATAGCACAACATGAGGGTAGTGTAGGGGTTATGTATGTATACAGCATAGGTAACTGCCCAACGACTATAAATACAGTCATACACACACACGTGTATTTTCTAATTATACTATGCATATAGCGATACTATCTATATATACAGACATACACACACTCGTGTATATGTTTTAATTACGCCATACATATAGCGATACTAACTATATATATAGACCACATGTGTATACGTTCTAATTATGTTATACATATAGCGATACTAACTATATTTACAGACAGATACATACACGTTAATATGTTCTGATTATGTTATACTACGGCTATATTTCAGGTATGATGCCAGCCACAGAGCTTCATCTGTGTAGTTTGAGAACACTTCTTGTCACATCTCGTGGTGCCGTAATTTATTACGGAACTAGTGTTCGGAACGGATTGGGAATCTTGGGGCTGCTTATAGGGAAGCTGAGTTTGTATACAGCAATCCTACATGTACGCGTGTATTCATACTAACCCACATATCTATTTGGGCTGGTTATAGGGAAGCTGAGTTTGTATACAGTAATCCTACATGTACGAGTGTACTCATACTAACCCACATATCTATTTGGGCTGGTTATAGGGAAGCTGAGTTTGTATACAGTAATCCTACATATATGCGTGTACTCATACTAACCTACGTATTATTTGCGCTATAGGCACATGTCTGGGTGCAGGGATTTGTTAGAGAACCACATCTTCGAAGCGTTGGAAGAGACAGAGATGACTCTCAAAGCGATGGATCCAAAGTATTTGGAAGAGGTCATGGCAGACCTACGCAGCGGCAGTCAGACAGCACAGCGCCTGTCTTATACCAAGGTATGCGGGTAAATGGCACG